TACTGCCATTCATTTCATATGCGGTAACAATGATTCTTTTTATTTTTTATATTGCTCTAGCAATGACAGTTTATACAAAAACAACATATGATGATGAAAAACAATGTTTTTTAAGTTCAAAGGTATTGATGTTTTTCGTTTATTTCTTTTTGATTTTTATGTTTTGCGTCAAAACAAATGTGGTATATTTTTATTATCTACGATTGGTTTATTTATTTTCTAAACCATCATGCGGAACATTATTTATAATGCTTGTCATTTCATTTTTTTTTCTATCACATGGGTTGCTTTTACAGCTGGATTTAATTCTAATCCATCATTTCAAATTACTCAATTATATCCATATGAATTTTGTTGGTTTACTCATCATGTTATATATTACTTTCTGACAACACCTGTTTGTCTATTTCTTTTGATAAATATTATTATATTTATTCTTGTAGCTTATAATATACTAAATCATGTTCAAAATGCTACATCGTCAGATCGATCATATGAAAGAATGAAACGATGTGTAGTTATTTTACTTTTATCGTGTGTAACACAGGGTGTTGGTTGGCTTCTTGGTCCATTTCTGACGTTTGTTAGTGAAGACAGAGCAAATGTTTTAGGATGGTTTTTTAATATATTCAATGGACTTGAAGGTCTTTGGGGAATTATTTTGTATATAATAATTCTCTCAGAACATACAAATAAACAAAAAGCTGCGGTAGCGACTGAAGAACCAAGGGCATCAAGAGAATCAATATATCATGACTACGAAACATGTTATGAAGAAGATAATGAAAAAGAACATTGTAGCAAGAAAGAAGAAAATGAAGTTACATATCAGAATACTGAAAATGAAACCTAACGGTCACTCGATGAATTTCGTGATGTCAAATTGATGAATTTTCGTGTTGATCATAATACTACTGCATCGTATTTGAAATAATTACTATCAGCAGTGTTGTTTTAACCTTTTTTTTTCTACTAACACTCATTGAATATGATTTATTGATCTTATTAGTAATCTATGAATAATAAATAATTATATCGAAATTCATTATTGTTTACTTTAAAAAAAACCATGCTATTTCTACGATATGAGAATTTTAGAAATACTCAGAAGTCGAATGTAATTTCTGGTGACTAAATGAATAGTACCATAAACTTTCATATTTCTATTTATACTAATAAGTGAGATATATAATTCATACTGTAAAGAAGTTTTTTCCTCGTGTCCTAAAAAGGAAAAATGACAAGATTCTCTTTTATCTTCTGTATTATTATACTCGAAAGTGTTAACAAGGATTATTGTAAGTATACAATACTGCTTCATCGACACAGTTATCAGAGAAAAAAGATTCCTGACGTGCGATCTTTATTAAGTGAAATATGTAGAAAGGAAAAAATTAAGAATAGAGTAGAAAAAAATGATGACATGAAGAAAACAGAGAAAATGAAGTAGATACGAGAGACAAATAGAGTAACAAAAAAAGAAAACAAGCATAACCAGTTTCACATCGATAACAACTCAACAAAGCGAAGAGATTCTATGAAATAAACTGCATTAAAATTTGTCATTATAATACAAGCAAGTAATCACAGTGGAGTTGTATAATTTTGTTCTAGTCTTTTTTTTATATAGATGATTTTATATAATCGTCTAATGACACTTTATTAGTTATTCTAAGGAGATCTATTGTTTGGCCTAACGAATAATAAGTACCAGTCTTAAACCATTTCCTAATTTTTCTCAAGAGTAATTCTTTTTAGGTTCTCAATAGGAAGTGATGTAGGTGAAAATATTCAAGTTGAATAAGAAAAACTATAGGCAAAAAATATGTTTTCAGAATGTTTTCTCATGTTTTATCCATCTTAGTTTACTAAATGTTCTTTGCATGATTTTAAGAGTCTTATTAATCATCAGTTGAAGGACATATTATTGTCAGGAATATAATCTATATATTTAGTTAAATTTTTTAACTAACTCCAGCTTTTGATTCTCCACCTGGGAAAGGATTATGGAATCTTGTACTTACGAATAAAGACTTATTGGTCCATTTCTGATGATTATCAATAAAGAAAGTGATAATAAAGAGTGTCTCATAAGTTCCAGGTATCAATGAAAATTAGTTTATATATAGGCAAAGAGTGATCCCTACGCTATCATATCTATATGAACTTCAAGTACTTGGGACGATGTATTAAATGGCATTTTATCCGGCGATTTCATCTCTTGAATAATAATGATATAAACAGAATAAACGTGATCATTATGGTATGATTACAGAAAATAGACACACCCATACTTTAGATACTAAGTATCACTTTGTATAATTATGTTACGGTACACATGATGAATTTCATAGTTCATTAGAACGTTCTTAAAAAGAATTCGTCAATTTCGAGATTTTAACAGCGATGGACGATATGACCCATTGATGGGAAAATCGTTCCCATTTATGCAGAAATCGATCACCCCACATAAAGTCATACTCGCTAAGAAGAAATGGAAAAAAGATATATATATATCACTTAGTATTCTTAAACGTATAATTCCTTCGGGCAGAAATCGTTCTTTATACAGTGAAATGCTTTGAACAAGCAGAAATGGACAACAATATATATATATACTCTATTTCTTCTTGCTTATCATACCCTTCTACTTGAGAAAAGAGAAATAGTTCATCCATTTCCCCCTACAAAATTTTCCATTTGTACTGTATAAAATCGGTTTCTGCTACGAATTCTCCTAAAGATGAAAAATAATCTTAATCATTTCTGCTTACATAATGAATACATTTTATGCATTTCTCCTTGTGTATTATACATTTGTGTTAGGGAAAGGAGAAACGTTCCATGCATTTCTACTAGAAACTTTTCCATTACTGCTATATGTTGATCTGTTTTCTTGTACAAAAGCGTTTCTGCTTGACTTTGTGTGGGGTAAAGGATTTCTGTTGAAATGGGAACGATTTTTTGGTTTTGGGGGATATCGTCCAGCCCTCCTCTTAAATCTAGAAAATTCGTCTGTTTACGATAATCAAATGAAAGCGATTTTATGAAAGGAAAAACAGATTGAAATTAATTACGGAAGTCAATGAAAGTACTTCAACTATTCAATATATGTATTTGAAATGAAAAGGCAATACATCGATTCGTAAATCCGTAAGATAAGAATTCTTGTAATTTACATTTATAAAAAACGAAGGCGCATAAAATCACAAACTAATTAGTTCATTTAGATATTATTAAAAAGTTGTATTGTATCATCCGGTGACATTTTTAAGTGAAACCGAACTAGTTTAAGTTGTTATGGGTCATTATTAAACAGTCAATATATGACAAATATAAAACTCACATTGACTAAAATGAACTCATTAGACTGTGATAATTCTTTCTCTCTTATTTTAGCTTTAAAATACTTTCGTTTATATAGCAATCGATAGCTCTTTTGAAGCTCTACAAAATGACACTAGAACGTGGAAATGAATATATGAAAACATTGTGTGTAGGCACTAAAAAATATCATCTTTTTGATTCAGATGTGCTCTATTTTGATTAAAGTAACTTGATTGTTTATTTGAAAAAATAGCATATTTAGAATCAGTACAAATGACTGAGCTGATGTATACATTTTCGAAACTATTTTGACAGCTTTCAGCTTCGTCGAAAAATTCAACCGTGATTCTCTACGAGAATGTATCAAAAAATGAATTCCATTAAAATGTAGAAGCGACTTATGGGAAATACGCTGTAACTTATAAAACTTAAATAAAAAAAAAGATCATGAAATCATAAAAAATAGTGTTTTTATTCAATTCATTTTTTGGCACGTTCTCATGAAAGACAACGACTGAATTTTGTAACGAAAATGAAGGCTATCAAAAATATTTGTAGAACTTAAAAAGGACTATCGATTGTTACATAAACGAAAGTGTTTTAATTTGAAAATAAAAGAAAAAGATCGGTTAGGTTGTCGGTGACAACCACTTCACTATCCATATTCGCACACTATATGGTTGAAAGATGATCAAAAATGTTTCTTACAGAAGCAAGATGTTTTAATATGATTCATAGATATACACTAAGATCAACTATGAAATGAGTTGTCACTCATACAAAAAATTTTGATCGTATTTATATTCAATGCTTATTCCTTACTTTCATCATTTCAAAACAATAGTATTCATGTATAAAAATTAGGTTATAATGAATGAAACTAGTGTCATTTTAATTTATTCTTGAAGGAGAAGTGATTCTTTCCAGTTTAATATTTTGCCTTTTTTTAGTGCGGCTACATAGCACTATTAGTAGCATATTCATACAAAAACAAGATATCAGCAAGTCAAGAATCATCTTTTGATTATTTGCTAGACGTGATGATAAATTGATAAAAAGCGCTAAATCTCCTTGAAATTGAAAGAGTACGTATTGAACGACTTGCGTTTGGGTTTAATAAATGATTTCAAATGACTTTTTTTTAAAAACGTTAGCAGAAAAAATCATTTCGCCTCGCTCTGATGATGGTTTCTGATGTATATTTGCGTTGTTTTATGCATTCTTGAATAACAAATATTATCACAGTAAAATCCTATCAGTTAAACTCATTTTCATGTGAGTTTTACATATATCATATTGTGACTGTGTAATGACGCATAACGATTTAAATCAGTTATGTTTCAGTTAAAAACATCACGGCACAACTTTTTTTAAATAATGCCTGAATGGTTTGTATGTGTAAATTATTAGTCGGCTGATTTATGATTTTTTACGTCTTCGTCCTTTAATCTGTCCTTCAATTAGAGTAGTTATTCTGATAAATTCAATGTAAATCATTTTTTTCATAAAATATTTGTTTTTTTCTTATTTAAAAATACAAGATTTAATAAAGTTAATTAATTTCGAGAAATGAATTTGAGTAGTGGCGGATTTAGGTGGGGGGATGCGAAGAAGCGATCGCACCCCCTTTCAAGAAAATTTTTTCGTTTTTTCCCAGCAAAGACGAATGAAAAATAAGTTCATACTACCTCAAATGCATCTGAAAATGTGTTTTTTGCCTATGATCGCACCCCCCTCCCAAAATTCTAGATCCGTCACTGAATTTGAGTACTATCTTCTTGACAAAAAAAAAGAGTCACGTATTTACGAAAAATAAAACCTAATGGCAACAACTTACATTCGTATGAGTAAATGTTAAAAAAGAAACCATATCGATTTCTTTGCTTTCATCTCTAATATCATGCAAAACAAGATCTTATGTCGTGCATGATTTTATTCATTCGATTCTCCCAATATTTATCGTCTGTCAGTTTAACAAATATTTCGTTTCTTACGAGTAAATATATGATATATTAAATTGAAATATTTTATCTAGACTTTGGTAACTGCCGATGTTTATGTTTTAGTTTTTTATTTCATAATAAACATTTGTTTTTTGTATGTTTGAAGACAACATATAGGAAAAGTCTGAGATACAGACTATTATGTAATAAATTAAATTTTTTTTGGTTGTCAAGAATGCCATCGAACTTTTTTGAAAATAGATTTATTTTTAGAATAAAGAAAGTAAAAATTTATTGTTAAAGAAAATTATTAACGATCATAGTTCTTCTACGTAGACTTGATTTAAAGGTGCAATGTTGTTACCAATGGTATCGATGTCAGAACAGTACAAATATTGAAAATATCTGATTTTACACTATTTCAGCTTTGTCTTGTATTCAAATCATGAAAACGTAAATTTACAGACGTCACGATCGAAAGCCTAGACGGTTATATTAAATTACAATTTACATTTCGATTATCATGAACTTCTGTTTTTTATTCGTATATAAATAGACTTTCTGGGATAATCGATGATTTTATTTTTAACAAAATGAACGGTTTTAGTAGAGAAAAGTTTTCACTTATATATTTAATAATTATGATTTATAATACAATCATAGTACAATCAAATGTAAAATTTCTAAAGGAAAATGATGCAAATATATTATTGAATTTCAAAGATGAATTGATATTAAAACGAGATATACGATTCGATGGTAGCTTAGAAACAAGTAAGATTATTCGAAATTCTTTTTTTTTGTTTTTACTAATAATTAAAATTAATATTCTAAATGAATTAATAACTTATTCTAAAGTGAATGTTACATCGGAACCAATCAAAACGAGTACGATTCAGGAAAATTTTTTTTTTCTTGTGAAAACTTTCAAACTAAATGAAAATCATATTCTGCAGGCATTTAAGAGAAGTTAGACAAGCTCATCCGAAAAATCAATTTTATAGTTGAAATTAAAATATATACTTTTTTTAATATCAATCCTTTCCTAAACACTAAACTAAAGTTACGAAAACATGTTTAGACTCTTGGAAATTAATTTGATTGAGTTATAAGCGTGAAAACATGCAGGTCTTTGAGAAATGGAAAAGGAAGTTCTGTTTATCTGTCGGTCATTTTTTATTCGTTTTGCTTGAACAACATCTCATTTGAGAGAGCATAAAAAGCTAAATAAAAACGTCAATTCTTGATATAACAGACTTAGCTTTTCTAGAAAACTGCGCTTTTATTTAACTGACTCTTTTTCCGATTATAAGCCGGTTTTCAATATGATTACTAATTTAAACGCAACTTTAATATAGTGCATTGTGTAAAGAATTTTGCTCTCTAGAAAATCATTATAAAGATTTTGAGGAAAAAACTTCAGAAAAAGTGGAGGGTGGATTGTTTCTGACGCATACGTTGTTGCATTTTGAACTGGTATTTGACAAGTTCTGTCCAGAAATATGATGATTTGATCAAAATTAATATGACATTCTGGTTCAATATCAGAAACTGAGTCGACTTATGTGTATATCAAACATATTTGGAAGATTTTTTTTCAATCATAATATTTATACTTGGCCGTTTCAGGATTTAGATAGAAGATGAATCTCATCAAAACACTCTCTTTATTGCTTAACCATTTTAATATCTTAGAACTTATTTTCCAGTATTAAAAAAAAATTTTTGTTGAATTTTATTTTTTTTGACTAAACTCTGAGGCGGATTACGGTTGAATTTTTCGATGAAACAAACATGTCCAAAATATGTTTGATATACCCATAAATCGACTCAGTTTCTGGTACTGAACCAAAACATCACATTAATTTTGATCAAATCATCATTTTTCTGGACAGAACTTGTCCAATAACAGTATAAAATGCACAAACTTATGCGTAAGAAATAATACGCCTCCACATTTTCTCTTAAAATCTGTATAATGGTAAACAGTCAGTGTAATAAAAGCGTAGTTTTTCGAAAAAGTTAATTCTTCTACAACAAGCTCTAACCTTTTCAGAAACCAATTCGACACGTTTTTGTTCACTTTTATGTGCTCTTTCAAATGACATGTTGCTCAAACAAAATGGATGGAGAAAGGCCGACATATAAGCGGAGCAATGGCGATGACCTTTATTTTTTCCGTTTCTCAAAGTTCGTCATGTTTCAACACTTACAAGTCGATCAAATAACACTGCAGCATTCTAAAAAAAATTTTCATAATTCCAGTTTAACGTTAGGAAATCATTCATATAAAAAAGCGTGTATCTCAAATTCGGCTATACAATGAATCTGTCGACGAATACTCGATCTATTGGTGAAAAATCTCTTAAATAGCTTTTTGTTTTGTAACGTAAGATATTTTAAAATAATCGAGCGAAGTTTTGACCAAAGAAAGAAAGTCGGTAAGGCATCAAATTTGTTCATTCTTACAACAATTTGTCACAGCTTTATATATCATTCAATGCAGAAACGAATGCTGAATTCTTCGGTACGAATTTGAAGCTGTGTAGAGTTTGTTCAGAGTCATGTGCATTTCCAAATATGATATAATGGAAACAATAAGCACACAAACCTTAATATTCATATGTGACTCTTTCATTACAGCGACTATAACAACAACCACTACTACAACCATCACAAGCACTACCACTACTCCAGATCCAATCGCTTGTCGAAATGGAACTCATATATTGGACAATGGTAATTGTGTAACAATAGATCAAGCCATAGTATGATACGAAGTACATTCATTTTTTTTTTATTATTATCTATTTTTTGTTCAGATAAATGCAGTTGGTACAATACGCAATAATTCCACAAATTCAACTGTTGTTGCTGAGACTCTTTCACAGTATATAAGTTTACTTCCAAATTCGAGTTCGACATTAAATCAGAGTTATAAATTAACAGTCGATGAAATCGATACTTGTCTAAACAAAATCAAAGACGTTAATTTAACATTAAATACTAATGATTCAATCCTTGTAGCACAGCCAGTAAATCAAGGAGGCAATGTAATGACTTTAGGTGCTTCATTCACACGTGCTACTGGTGGTCAAGTTATTAATACTGCAAATACCGGTAATATAATCAATTCATTTTCATCAGCAGCAGCTATTATTAGCAATCAATCGTTAGCTGGTGTTAAATCTCTCAATATGCTCATCATTGATAAACCTACTACCTATAAAGATTTAGATAAATCAAGTGATAGATTCCTTGCATCATCAGTGATCGTCGTGGCACTGCACAGAAATGATTCTGCATCAACTTCAACGAATATTTCTCTATATTTCCAAGTTTTACAAGAATATCATCCAAATCGTGTCGCCCAATATTATTGTTCATTTTATGATACAACGAGTTCGAAATGGAATGAATCCGGTTGTACTATACCTAAAAACAATACAGCTTTCAATCGATATGAATGTAGTTG